TTAACAGGCAAGGAATGCATCTTTCATGTGGCAAGTCAGAAGGGCCCCAGAGCTTTATAGTGGAGATGGGGGATGGGGCTGGCGCTTGTTGTGAAGTGGTAGAGAGTCCTGCTATATTGCTCATCTTAACATTCTGTGTATAAATAGGTCCTGCTAGTCTGAGGCATAATGATTTCAATCATTTGTGCTGTATAAATAAACAGGGCATTGTGAGCTTACTTGTTCAGGAATTGTCCCTGGCTTTAGTTTTGGCCACAGACTCCCAGAAGCCTGCAACCAATCTAAGCTGGAGAGTTTAAAGAAACAGTCCGTTTCTGATCTGGAGCCACCGGGAGAGGAGGGAATGTTACTGACTCTGGAGAAGGAAGCAGGAGGGTGAAGGTCTTCCTTGGGGTCCTCAGTTCTGGGGATGGGGAGCCTGGGAAAACCTTTGGCTGGCCTGCCATGGATGCATGGCCACCAGCTGGCATGAGCTGATGGGAAGCAAAAGGCTTCACTGTGGTCTGATGGGACACAGATAGTTTCCAGGGAATGTGATGGCTCCTGCTTGATGTGATGTCAGGTGCAGGAGTGCCTGCTGTGTGCTCTGTTCTTAATGGTGGTAAGCATGAAGCCTCTGTGAAACAGGCAAACCAAACGGTAGACTGAAAAAAATGCAGTGCTGCTTTGACTGACACTGATGTACTGCAGACTGTGTGCATTCACCCTACGTGAGTGCTAAGTGCGATTCCATGAGTACCTCCTTTGGCATGAACTACACAGCCAAGCACTTCATTCAGACCTCCAGCTCAGGCAGCCTGCCCTGAGGGCATCCAGTGGCCAGGTCCTGTGGACTAGCCCTGTGGACTCTGATCTGATTTAGGAAACCACTTCCAAAATTTAGAGACTTCCTTGCCGACATCAAATATGCTATGCTTTTCTGTTCTTGACACTATACCATTTTCTTACACAACACTGAAGAAATCCATTTTGCTTAGCAAATCCTGCCACACCTATTCAGAGGGACATTGACAGGCTAGAGAGGCGGACTAACAAGAATCTCATGAATTTGAAGCAGTGCAGATCTCTGCACATGGGAAGGAACAACCCCAGGCACCAGGTACATGCAGTGAGGCTACCCATCTAGAAAGCTGCTATGCAGAAAAGGACCTGGGGATCCTGGTGGACACCAAGTTGAACATGACTCAACAATGTGACCTTGCTGCTAAGAAGGCTAATAGTATTCCTGGCTGCTTTATGCAAAGTATCATGAGCAGGTCAAGAGACATTATCTTTCCTCTCTTCTCAGCATTGATGAGGCCACGCCTGGAGACCAGTTCTGGGCCCAACAGTATGAGAGAGATGGGGACATTCTGGAAGTCCAACCAAGATGATCAGGAACTGGAGCACTCTCCTGTGAGGAGAAGCTGAAAGAGTTGGAGACGTTCAGCCTGAAGAAGAGGATGCTTGGAGGTATATGTATACAAATATCTGAAAAGACGATGCAGTGAAGATGGAGCCAAGGTCTTTTCAGTAGTGCCCACAAGTAACACAAAATAGAACACAAGATGTTCCAACTAAGCATCAAGAAGCACTTTTTTACTTTGTGGGGATGACTGAGCACTGGCACAGGCTGCCCAGGGAGGTGCCAGAGTCTACTTGCAGATCTTCACAAGCAATTTGGACATTCTTTTGGGCAACTTACACCAGGTTGATTAGAGCTGTAGGACCAGATGACCTCCAGAGGTCCCTGCCAACCTTAACCACTCTTTGATAATGTGATTTCTTTGCAGCTTGAGGAATCACCAATCATGTATCCAGTCAAGCAGATTTTATTTCTGAATCCACTGGCATAGGAAGAGCAGATAGATAACATTCAGTTGAGAAAATAAGTAAAAATTGCACTAGCACCAGTCAGGAAGCTGGAATTTATACCATCTGGTCTACATAGATATTGTGTCTAGCAGACGAAGTTTAATAGCTGATTACAGATCTATTAGAAAATGTTCCTTCAGCTTCCTGATACAAAAATAAAAATCCTCAGAAATAGGTTAAATTTTCTTAAGAGTTTCCCCCAAACTGTTTTCTTTATCACCAGAGTTCTGGAAACATGACTAAAAGCACATACTATATGGAAAGAAAATCTTGTACTTGAATGTTTCAGGCATATCAGTCTTCAGTTTACCTTCCAAATTCTGTGTAGCTGGTATTGAAAATAATATCTTGCTTTCCTTTTTTTTTAAAAAACTCAGTTCAGTAAATATTACAAGCAAAGAATCTCCCTTTGAATTTCTGCCTTGTTCAAGGATTAACCTCTAAGTATTTCATTTGTCTTCATATATCTTAAGATTTTCTTTTGTACCAAATATTGTCACGTGAAGGTTAATGAATTATAACTAAAAGGTTGTCATTTGGAAAATTTTGTTTTAAATTATCAAAATTAAAGAAATGGTTTCTTTTTTATGTGTATATAAAATTATTGCACTTTCCATTTAACAATCTAGCTTTCATTTTCATTATCAGAATCATAAAAATGATTGAAGTGATGGTTTCTTTTTAAAATGCAAAGTGTTTCATGCCAGAAGTTCTGAGAAATTAGATTTGCTTTTTCTATTTGCAGGTATAAAAGAAATTATCTCTACTTCTTTTATTTTGTAACCTTTTCTTTTTTCTTTTTTCTTTATCACCTCCATTTTATTCTGCTTTTCAAATGTTTCCTCTGCTGTTTACAAGTGAGGGAAAAAATCACTAAAATTATTTTTAGTGAAACAAAGAGAGGGAGCGAGGAAGTTCAGATGAAAAGTTATATTTGTAAAGGCAGAATTGAGAAGCAATTCACATTAATTCAAAGCAGAGTCTCTTTATTGGATTATGGGCTGATTGTGTTTACAAATACACTGCCAGGAGGGTTTTAATTTTGGGGCAATTTCATTGTTCATAGATATATATCTATAGATATATATCAATGAAATTATGTGGTTATGTGTTTTAAATGAGATACAGCTCCTTACTACTTAATGTAATATATGCTTCCATTTTATGACATAGCGCAAAAGCAGAGCAATTTTATAACAACTTTAGTTGAAATATCATAAATGAAAGATGTAAACAATGTTATGTTTATAGACACAGTATAAATCTGAGTCCACTGGAACTTGGTGATCTCTTTATTTAACAAGGATGGGCTTTATTACGAAAGTACAATCAAGCACAGTTCTAATCCTTTGCTTTCAGATTTTTCAGCAGTTACTAAAGCCAGCATCAACACAAGAGTTTACATCCTTAGGCAGACCATCTAGCCAAGTATTCTCTGCCCAGTGGGAGCCAATAGTACATATAGGAAAAAAGGTAAATATAGAATGATTCTTCTCCCAGTGTACCCTTCCAGGTTCATGCAATCAGCAATTTGAATACTTCTTCAAGTGGAGATTGTGATTAGATTTATTTTTAAAACTTCATGATTGCACCATCCTTTTGAATATGTTTATAACTTCTGGATCTCACAACATCCTACAATATTTGGCTCCAGAATTAAATGTATTGTTCTTTGTTGAATAGTTGTCTCCCAATATTACTGCTATGTGCTGAATTTGAGAGAGTTCTTTAAAATTCAAACACATTAACAACCTACACAAATACTGCTATTATGTCTGAGTGTCCTTTTCCTAAACAGTGCTCAGTTTAATTAAATAAATTTTACAAAACCATAATCATATTAACCACTGGGACAGTCTATCCATGAAAAGAAAGAGCAGAGAATAGAGAATGCTTTTTTTTTTTTTTTTTTTTTTTTTTTTTTAAAGATCTATGTGCATCCTTGTGTAGGTAGGACCTAAATATGTAGAAATGAATGTATGAAACAGAAAAATATGGAAACGTAACAGCATGGGCTTCAGATTCCTATTTTCCAGCCATTTTATCTCTGTTAACAAGGAGAAAACACAAATCAAGGTGAAGTCTGAGAGACCTGGTAACCTCCAGGTCTGTAAAATGACAGTCTAGCTGATGTCTCATGTTATGTTCAGACTTGAATCATCAATTACAAGCTAGCATGTTGCCTTTTCACACTCAAAACTATAGTTAATCCAATTCAATACTTATAGTATTAATATCTCCTTCTGTAAATGGGTAGAACAGTCTTGATTTGCTATACACATGGAAGATTATTTTCAAATTGTGGAAAGCATTTTTCTGGGCAAAGTAGAAAAAATAACCTGTGCCTTGATTTCTCCACTTGTAATCTGAGTTAATGATTATCACCTTATTTGATGCTTTTGGTACCTGCATGAAAAGGAAAATATAGGTATAATTACTTTTATCAGCAGGTGTATTTCAGAGGATGGTATTCCAGACTAAACAGGGAGAGAGTTAAAAGAAATCGTAGAATCATAGAAATCAATAAATTCTCCCTGACATCTAATCTAAACCTTCTCTAGCACAACTTGAGGCTATTTTCTCATGCCGTAAATGATTCTTTGTAACTTATTAAATTTTATCAAATGATAAATGAATAGACATATATGGAAAATCTCAGCCTGCAGGACAAATTTATTTGTCGAGAATTCTACAAACAATGCTCAACAAGTATTTGATGATGGAATAGAGTAAAAACCCTGTATGTGAACACATCACCATAGTAGTTTGAATTCATGTGTGGAAAAAAACATTCTCCGAAAAATGTTGAACTAAAACCCCAAGTCTGAATGCTAGTAAACTTTGGGGAGGAAAAAAAAATGAAACTGACATCTCTGTTTTGATGTGAAAACAAGAAAAGAGAAGAACACAAGAGATTCTGTCTAAACATTGGGAATCATTTCTTCACAGTGTAGGTGACTGAGCACAGGCACAGATTGCCCAGAGAGGCTGGGAGATCTTCAAGAGCTGCCTGGATGTGATCTTGGGCACCCTGTTCTGAATGTTCCTGCTGGAGTACAGGCTGGAGCAGATGGACCCAGAGATCCCTGGCAGCCTCCTTCTGTGATTCTATTATGTTCTATATACCCATTGTTTATTAGTTCATATTCCACTGTTGATTTTTTTTTTTTTAATTATTCATAGGATACGATGAAAAGAATATTATGTGAGCAACAGATCTGAAACTCATAGCACTGACAGTTCTAACATTTTTATTATTGCTGTTACCATGATTATTGCTATCACTATCGCAATCTCAATTGCTATTACTATTAATTCTATTAAGGTTGACACAACCACAAAGCCTCTTTGAAAAGTTATTTTAAACAATCATTACTTTTATTGTAAGTGTGCTTTCCACTTCTTTTGAATACTTGCTTTGAAATATATTTACATAGTTTCAGAATCTTTCCTACATCTTCCCCTGGCTCCATCCTGGGCACTTTTTGACCTCATAATCTGTTTGTGCATGACATCACAATCTGTTGCCATGGAAAGGGTCGTAGTATCAAACAAGTAAGATGGTCAAAGGTTGCCTTGCAGAAGAGAGATAGAGATTTCATAGGAGAAATCCATTAATACTTAAATATAGTGCAATGGGAAATATTATATTATCTTTACCCAAATCAGTTACATAATTTTAAAGGAAGCACTCAAATAGTTTGAGTTCTTATATCCTGTCAGAGTCCTCTATTTTCAGAGGTAATAGAAGTTTTATAAGCATATGCTTTTATATATATAAACAAACTGCATACTGTGCATGCTATAATATCCACTGCAATTTACCAAGTGTTCTCTTAGCATTCAGAATGAAATGTGACAATTTAATCTGGTATTTGTGCAACAATCCCGAATCCAACGTAGATTTCCTGAACAACCCACACCATCTGTAAGTGGTAGGTTTATTGTTAGTATTGACTGTCTGGAGTACTGCATCAGTTCCAGGCTTCCAACCCTACATACTTTCAGAGTAAGTTGTAGGACACGACCAGAAATAGGTCATTCCTGCAACATAAAAGAGCAAAGAATAAGGCACCAAGAAAAGTCATGCAAGTTCAGATTCTCAGCTCTTTCTGCTATTGGGGGTATTAGAAGTCTTGGAGCAATTATTTCTGCCTCTGGGAGAACTCCCACTTGCACTCATCACTGCATCCCACGCACCTCAATGCAGCTGCAGCAGTAAATCTAGATTTCTAAGGCTGTGGTATAAGCAAAACAAGGAGTAATGCCATGGCAGTTGTTCTGTTCTGGAAATTTGTTGTTCAAGTTTGCTGCTTGTTTTGGTTAGCCTAGAGCTGATCCTGTATGCATAGCAATTACCCTTTATTACGCCTTTGAAATTAGGCAGTGGCAGGATATAGCAAAAGTAGTGTTGCTTTAATGGTTGAAAAGCTTTTATGGACTATAGGTGTGGCTGTTTGTTTGTGTTTATGTTCCTAATTTGTAGTTTCCAACCTCACTGAGGTACCAGGCCTCAATGAACACTGGGCCATAAAGAAGGTTTACTTTTCTGTTTATTGAAAAATAGTGAAAATTCTTTAAAGCAAAAATGTACATTGTCTTTGCTTTTATCACAGTCACAGTAGCTATCTTTCAAAATCATCACGTCTGAAAATAACTCATGGTTTTTTTTCAGGCTTTCAGAGAATTTTTCATCTAAAAAAATATGAATGAGAAAGCCTCAGCGTTGAAGTATTCAAATAATTAAGGATGTCTAGAGGCAGAGTGTTAGAACTGAAATACATTATTTTTTCAGTAGCATTAAGGAAGGAAGTTGAGTTTATCAAGATTTGGATGTTGTACACATTATGCAACTGTCCTCTATATATTCTACTAAAATCACCTATATTTTCTCTATAAAATAATTTGATTGTTTGATATAACTAGACTCTGCCTGCTGTTGGCAAGAATGAAAAATACATCATTGCACATATCTCCAAGGTAAATTGTTCATCAGGGAAGTGTGCCTCTAGGGAATATTTTCTTAGGAGACCCATGAACAATGAGAGATTTTCCACAGGGTATGCCCACAGGGTAAAGTGTACTTCAAAGTGAGAGATCCAAGATGAAATGAGACTCTTCAAAGGCCAGCTCCACTTCCCCTCTCAACAAGACAAATGACTTCAAAGGGGAACCCACCAAGGTTGTAAATAACTTCTCCATAATACAGAAACCTTATTGAAAGCAAGTTCTACCAGTAATATGATATTTTTTAAGAAATTACCCCAAACCAGGTGGGGTCTCAATGAATCTAATGTTCCTCAAGCAAATGTATGATCATCTAGAAGACTTAGGGAGATTAAATGTGTACTGTTCATTTCCTTCTCACTTCTCTAAACTTATAGCAACATTTAACAGTTACAGGAGTGACAGCCTAAGAAACCATGACAACTAAACAGCATTATTAGGGACTCCAGGGACAGCTTGTGTCTAGGGTCCATTACAATCAAGTTAGCTACAGACCAAAAGTAAGTGAGGAACTACTAAGTAAGGCTCTATTTTTACATATGATATTATGTATCATTGCAACTATCTAAATGAGTACTTTCAGACTCAAAACTTTATTACAGCATCATCAATGACAGATTTTTGTAATGACTGCTAATAATCATTCTCCAGATCAACATCTTATGACAAGTCAATGCTTCCATATATATCTTTGTCCAGGGAGAGAATTTAAAAGATAATCATAGAATCTTAAAATGATTGAATAAACAGCAACACTGGAAGAAGAAAAAGAAAAGAGAAAACATGAACAACAGAGACCCAAAATAACCCTTGCCATTAGCATCGCAGAGAATCCTAAGTAAGGAAAACTACTACTGAGCCTGTCAGTGAGATAAAAGGTAGCGAAGGTTTGGTATCTCCCAGGTAAAGGTATCTCCCAGCATAAAATCCAGTCAATTTCTTATTAAACCTGAAAATCAGCCTCTGATCGAGCCCTAGAAAGATAAATATAATCCTGATATATTTGTCCAGCTCCAGAGATCTGTTGTTTAAGAAATTAGTGCTGACTTCATCAGATACATCATAAAGAAACATAGTCTTCTATTACTCACCATTCAGTCTCGCACATATATGCTTTCTAATGGAAAAGAGTCATACCCAGTGGCACCAGACTATTGATATTTCTACTCTATTGTTTAAGTAATGCGCAACATTTAATATGTCAAATGGCATGACTGTTAAAAAAACAACTAATTACTAGATAATCTTCTCACAAATCAATTGTACTGTACTAAACAGTGGGGGTTGTATACATTATGAGACAGCACTACACTTAATACTGGAAGTCTTGAAGAATCTCAGAGGCTTATTTTCTAAGGTTTATAGCCTGGTTTGCTGAGAAAGAAATAATAATAATTGCATTACTTGTATGCCTGATCAGTACATTAGTATGTTTAGAAAAGGTTGACTAAACAAAAGCAAATCTGAGAGGGAGGCAAAAATCATGAAGGTATGTAGTTCTTGCAGATTTTATGAAAACTGACAGCTTTGTGGAGCAGAGAGAAGTCACAGACTTTTTTGAACCTCACTGAAGGAATAGCTACTGTGTGGTTCAATACTTGATTGACCTCAGAGTTGACACTGGATCTCCAGGTCTAGAAACAGAATTGTAGACCTATAATCTGTGGATCACATGTGGAAATCTCTAAATTTACCTTAAGTAGCTCCAGTCTGAATACTTGCTTAACTGAAAAAGTTCTGGCTGAAAAAGTGCCTTGTGATGCTTTAAATATCTTTCACAAATATTTGAATCCAAATATTTTCTATTTTTACAAATGCTCATCGGTTCTCTGACAAGAATTGCATTTAATCCTTTTGCGTGGCTTTTTATGAAATCATCCATAAAAATGTCACTTGTGAGCTAAAATCTAAGTCCCTTTTTCACCACTCCCCTCCCTGAAGAAAAATAAGATTCCTGACTTTTGAAAGAAACAGCTACAGTACAGATTAATCATGAGTTTCACCCAGAATCCTAGGAGGCTCTCAAAGGCACCCAAACTGTCTAATTGATGTTTTTCCATAAATTTTGTCTAGCAAACATTGACACAAATAGGTAAAGTGTGGTAAAGTTATGACATCTTTATCAAACGCTCTGTTCTGATTTAATTGAGAGAGTATGGCATGTGCCTTATCACAGAGGACAGTCCACCATTGGAATAGTCTTACCACAAAATAATTGAATGGCAGACTTATGACTCTACCTATATGCATAATTAGATATAGTAAAAGGCAAACATGAATCAGAATAAAGAGAAAGAACAAAGATCACGTTGACTGTGACTGTTTATTTATGTCATGTACATCCCACTGTATTTTACAGGATGCCTAGAACAGAGTGAGGTCCTTACTGAAGTGTATGAGAGGTAAATTTCTTGTGTCTTAGTCATTATTAGATCATAATTCAAAATGGAAACTTGCATTTGATTGTTGTGAAAACTGAAAACTTCTAGCATACTTTTGGATGCTAAAGAAGCTTCATTGCTTATAGATTTCACTAAATTTTTATGGTCATTGAATGGAACTACTGTTAATAAACGGAGTGTTAAAAACTGAAAGCATCACGTGCTTTTTTTCTCTATGTCATGCATTCTAAAAATTGAAAAATATTCATAGGAATAATAAGTAATAAATCTAAGTGGAAACTTTGATTATTATGTTTTCTTCATTACTTCACCTTCTTTGAAGTTTTATACCCAAAAGGTACCTAACTAATCATCAAGTATTATTTTACACTTTCAGCCATTCAGGAAAGAAAGAAAGAAGATAAATGACATGAGCTCAAGGATGGAAATAGCTGCTATACCAACAGTGAATAACCATTACAATTTATCCAGCAGGTTGAAAGTTGTGCAGTGAAGTTACCTCCAAAAAAGCTGTGGGTTTGCTGCAAATGCCTGTGGGGAAAGTCATATTAAGTGTAGCTTACTATATTGTTGACCACATCCTGGTAGACTTCATCAACTGGTGTACCTGAAACCAGCTGCAGCTTGTCAGCGTGAACTTAATGTACATGCTGGCTTTGCATATGTGGTTCATTTTTGATGAGGCTCATCTCATGCAGGCTTGCTGCTCTCCATTTCTTGTGCGCATCAGTCAGGTGGTCATTTCATAGGTTGACTTGTGAATGCAGAACCTAGGGCTGAGCAAAAGCATTTACAGCATGATACACTCCTATCTGTAGTCAAGTTTTAAGATTTGAGTTTCTAGTTAGAGCCTTGCGGAGAGTTTCAAACTGATTCATATTGTGCTTTACATTGCCGGAAGTCAGAACTGTGTTACAGTTTTCTGTTCTTGAGCTTTCATTGTGTTGTGCCTAGCACAAGCAGTTTATACTGATTACAGTGGTTGTATGCATGTTTGTGTGAGAGAGAGAGCTGTGTGAGAAAATACAAAGCTCAGATGCTGAACTCTGGCCTCAGAGTGCTTATGTTGAGTTGCAAGGTGGTGACACCCAGGGTACAAAAAGAATATATACTATGCAGTGCATTTTTATTTTATAATCTACTTTACAGCAGCTGAGTGACTATCATGTGTCTGAATGGAAGCCATACATATCAGTTCTATGTTTAAAAACTTTGAGGATGCTCTCATAATTTTTCTCAAAATAAACCACATTACAATCAAAACCTTGAGCCTGTTTTAGGTGCCACGAGGTGAGGATATATATATATTTACATATTCATTTTTACTTCTTTTTGCTTCTGGAGTTTGCACTGTAAGTAGGACATACTTTCAAGATCTCTGCAGTTACAGGAGTAAAATTAATTTGAAATGATAAAAGCTTAGATTCCGACATGCTATCTTGACTTAAGAATCTAAACACCTAAGGAAAGCATCTAAACATTTTTTATATTGTAGAACTTGTGATCTGAGTGTGTATAGGAAGCTAAAGGAGATTCAGAGGGGTTGTGGAAACTATTCTGTGCTTCCCAAAGTTCAGAAAGAAATTTTAAAAAATGGTGGTTTTACTGTACATCATACTTTGTTGGAATTAGAGTTAGAATTATAATTACTTTAATATGACCTTTTCATGCATAAGAGGAGCAAAATAGAAATATTTACTTAAATTCTGAGGTTTCACACTGGGACATGTGAGCTGTGAAAAGGTGCAAGTAGAAGGCATACAAATAATATTCATAAAGAAAAATATTTCAGTGACAGATAATGAGATAGTGCACTAAGATGCACTAAGAGAAATCCCCATTCATCACTGAAATACAGGTGAATCTATACAGGAGTATCGTAGCTGCTGAACAGTGAATTTTGTATTCAGTGGGAATCTCTGAATGATGTACTCACATTGAGATCACTCAATAATCTGATATTCATTCATTTGTTCCCCATTCTTATCTTGCTGCCAGGCTGGGTGGGTTTGGGAGGCCTTGAAGAATGAACCAGTGATGAGGAATCTCTTCTGCCCTGTTGCAGTCAGAACAGGGAAACCACAGACTGTGGATGTGCCAGAGCCTCAGAGAAACAAGAAGGTGCAAACCATCCTGAACTGAAAAAGTCAAATATTTTGCAGTAACCTTGGCTTCTCCTGAGATCTCTTCTCCATTTTTGTAGCTGAGCCCCATCCAAATTAATTCCCAGAATTTCACATTATCACAGCCTGAGGCTATTGGGCTGCAATGAATCCTGGGAAACTTGTTTCAGTAAATCTTGATTCTAAAGCTGACCACATCTTGGACAGGACCAAGTACTGCCTGTCTAACAGATGTAATATGCAAATGTTGGCTGTGGTTTTGGTACAACCATGTGTAATATCTTACATGTTCCTGTTTCACAGAGTGTCTATGAGTCTAGAAGATTAGGCCTAAAAAGTTTTGATATTTTTCCTTTTTTTATATCTGAATAATGTTTAATCAATTCAAGTATACATAGCAGTTGGGATGTCCGTCCTAGAAGCAGCAAGGGAGATGGGAATTTGTTGACCCTATTCTGAATTTTCTAAGTTTTAGAACTAGTGGTAATTTTATACTACATATACTAAGTACACTACAGGATATTTTGCTAACACAGATGAATTAAAATAAAGATGTCCTTTGTGTAGATATGCATGCAAATGTACATAAATATAATTTAGCAAGACTGTGTGCATCAATTTAGATATACAAATATAAGTTGGAGCTCCTTCCACTTTCAGTCCCTATGTTTATTTATCTTAGTGTAATTTTCATTATTTTGTATAAATGATGTTTCAACAGAGTGATTTAGTGTATGCTTCACTTTAAGCTCATAGAACATGGTCAGTGAATTGAAGTTTTAGCAGTAATAGATTGTGCTAATTTGGTGGACAAAGAAGGACATTTGCATAGGCCCAATCAGTCTGGCAATTTCTTACTACCCAAAGTAGAGAGCGGAGGCCGTGACCAAGTAGAAACAAAGTATGCTTCTATTTATAAATAAATAATCAGGCCAAAATTAAGAGAGGTCCTGAATGAAATCTATCAATATCTTCTTTATACACTGATATTAAGTGTGTGTGTGATTTTGACTGATTCTGTTTAGATAAACAAGTTGAAAAGAAGGATGCTGATCATGGTAATAGCATAGAATCCAATGCAAGCAGTGACAGTCTGGTAAATTTAAAAAAAATCTTCTGCGTGTCAAAGAGTTCCTTGAGTTTTCTGAATGTGGCATCTTAAAATTAAACAAAAGCATAATTTTTAGGTCACTACTAGAGTTACACGTACACTTACAGAAGCACTCCTTTGAGAGCTAAATAGGCCAGAGAAAATATAGTTTGTTTGAAAATCACACTGGCACTTGTGGTTTAACCTGGCAGGCAGATAAGCACCACACAGCACTTCATGTTCACCTCCCCAGTGGAATGGGAGGTGGGAAATAAACAAAATTTGCGGATTGAGATAAAGACAGTTGCTGTCACCTGTTCTGACTGTCCCCTTTCCCAGTTCTTGTGCTCTCCCAGCCTCCTTGCCAGCAGGGCAGAGTGAGAAGTTGGAAGGTCTTTGACACTGTGTAAGCACTGCTCTGTAACAGCAAAAACAGTATGTTATCATCATTTTTCCCCTAAATCCAAAACACAGCACCACACCAGCCACTGCAAAGAGAATTAACTCTATATCAGTCAAAAATCAGGACAATACTCATTCTTTGCGTGTTGGGATAAACTCCCATTCCCACTGGGTTGAGATGTGGACCACAAAAAAAAAGTCTTGATAGAGTTCAAGTTGGAAGAGACCCGTAGGGATGCTCATTTCAGTGCATTAGTCGTTGTTAAGTGAGAATTCCTCTACAGCAATACTAGGGAAAATAATTTCCTATCTTATAAACTTTTTTCATATCTATTCAAAGCTGTTTGGACACAATTCTGATAGGATAGACATGCATATCAGTTTATTAGTGTAAATCTCTTGGCATCAATACTGTCTGAAGTGAAAGCTTCTTAAATCTTAATTAATTGCACTGATTGTAACTTTTCTCCTATTTATTTGCTCAGTTATATATATCACTCACTGAGGAGCTTGCTTAAAAATAGTGAAAATAGAGGAATAGAAACAGAGACAGAAAGAAAACACAAAAGGCAGGGAAAACATATGTGAGAAAGGAGGAAAAAGTGAACTAACTGTGGTATGTAAAACAAAAAGAAAGAGATCAGAATGAACCAGAGTCAATGGAAAAGAGAATAAGTCTAGAGATATGGCAGGAAGCCTGGGGGAGGCCTGGAGAAAGAAAACTACAAGAAAAGGATATCAGAAAAAAAAGGAGGGGCTGAAAGAGGAGGAATGTAGGACTAGAGATGGTGAAATCCAGGATTACACTAAAGGGAAAAATTGTATATTTTATTTTATTTTTTATTTTTTTTACTTTACTGGTCAGTAGGAAAATGTACATTTTTATTCTCTGTTGGAAAACCTATTAAACTGGCTCCTGATGAAAGGGTCTCCCTTATACTTGTGGATTGAAATTTTCCTTACAACACCTTGACTTGCTTTGGTAGAAGTATTGTTAGTCACTGTAATATTATCTCGTGAAAACATGGTCTGCAGAGAAATGGATGATGAAGTGCTCCTAGTAAAAAAAAAAATAATTTGTAACTAAATTGCATGCATGCAGAAACACATATGTTTTTTTTTCCTCAGATGGCAAGAATGTACTGCCTAAGTGGTGTGTAAAAATTTAAATTAATTTAGCCAGTTTTAATATGGTATTGCCAACTGCTTTTGTTACAAATAAATATTTAAAGATCAATTTTCATATACAATCAAAGCTTAAGAACGAATCATTTCAATATGCCAAGATTCCTTTCATTTCTCTGTCTCTCTTCTCCCCTCTCTGCCCTTCCATCAGTGGCTAGCTATTAAAGATAAAATGGTTGTAATCATTATTATAATAGATCCCTCTGCATGATCATTCTAAGTGGGCCTAATCCTCTGCTTTTCTTGTTGCATCGCAGTATCCTACTATGGGAATGGAAGTGATGACACAAAGGATTATGACTACTGGATATGAAAAAAGAGCAGAGTGGAAGTTACTTTTTCTACAGAAGTGCTTAATAAACATTAAGTTTTGACACACGGCTGACAGAAAAAAAACCCTACATGGCATGAACTTCTTTAGCACAATGTTTTCCATTGCATTTTTTCTGAAAATACAAGTTAATTAAAACACACACAATACCCTACTTTTGAATTCTAAGTATGAGACAAGGCCATACCGTATGCATACAAACTGTAAGAAATAATTTATAGGATAAATTCCCCACAAGACCATTCAGGGAGAGGAAAAAAAAAAAAAAAACCTAAAAGAAAGAGAGAGAAAAAAAGACCTGGCTCTTGACACTAAAGGCTTAACATCAAATGCGGCCAGAAATCCATTTTCACAGTTTTATTGCCCATTCTGGACGCTTCATTTCAAAGGGAAAGAATTTGAATTCAGACACATAAAATTCCCTTTGTTCTCTTGCCCTCCAGCCTTTGGTGCCAGTGTGGACGGTCCTATAGGGAGAGGTTGAGATCAAAAAAACTTTCAGCTTAGATACCTGGCCCCAAATGATGCCCCTTGGCATTCTTAATTAAATCAGCTTTGCAATAGATTGACAATGCACTGTCAATTATAATCATTTATATTAGCAAACGGAGTATTTTTAACACTTTGGAAATAGCAAAAGTTCAGTAGACCTGGGGAAAAAAAAAAAAAAGCTATACAATTTTACTGCTTGATGATCACATAGAATGTAGTACATTGGATTGTAGGTCACATAACATTTTATCTTAGCACTGGGTAAAGCTGATGTGATTTCGCATATCTTTTCCCATCTGAAAGGACATTTCCAGTTAGGTTCATCTGGGTTGTTTGTTGTTTTTCTGTCGGCTTCAAAACAGAAGTTGAGTGTAGTGCAAGGGGGCAGGAAGGAGGGGACATTGCAGCCCTGTGATGGAGGGAACCTTTGTTATAGAGAAAGGGCCTGATCCAGAGTCTACTGCACTGGAGGGAGGTATTTCTATTGATCTCAGTAGGCTTCGACCAGTACCTGCAGAGATTATTTTCACTGAGAGTTCTGAGGTACTTTTGATATTAAAATCTGCACAGGAATATTTATGAAAGGAAGGTATCTCCTTTGGTAGCAAACGACATCCTGACTTGTACTGATGAATAAGGTACTTTCTGCTTTCTACAGTGTTATTTCTTTATGTTTTAGCCTCATGCCTCTTTCTATTCCAGTTAATTTGGAATAGATACAGATCAGCTTTCAGGCTTCAGAGTGTAAATTGATCACCTGGAGAGGTCAGGAAGGCATTTTTCCCTCTCCACGTATAGCACTGCACAGGAGATTAGAGGTCTGTACAACAATGCCTATATTTCTACTTTCTGTGGAGTTTATAGCTACTTTTTCCTTTCTTCTTTTTGGAACCCGCTGACTCTGATATTCATTTTGCTTCAGTGAGTTATGCATGACTTTTTCTTCAAACATTCATGTAAGTTGATTTTGATTTTCCTGTATGAAATAGGATTCTACCATCAGATGTTAATATAGGAGAGTAGATGATTGCTTCGATTGCTTCGTAGCAGATTATGTTCTTGTTTCATGGCAATAGGTGGATACCTTCTTTCTGTTAAAGTCTAAAATATGGACAATTTTTAATTGTGAATCAGATTTATTTGTAGGGAGGCTATCAGAGTAGCAACTAAAAAGATTATTAGTAAACTTGAAAAACAATCTTTGCCATAACCCGCATCAAATTTGATTTATATTTTTAGGAGCTATGAAAAAGTTGTTACAACCAGGAAATACTGATCGTGTGTTGCAGATTTAACCTTAATTAAGACACTTTTCTAAGCCTTAAAAGTTTATATTTCAAACCCAGTTAGGAGTGTCTGACATTTCTCGCAACTAAATTATTTTCAAGTTACTGAGGATTAAGGAACTTACATAAATCCTATCAATTTTCGGTCCAGAGATAGGGGGCAAATTTAAAAATAAGAAAGAAACTGAAAAAGTAGTGTCAGCTGACCTAAACTGTGTAAGCATAAGGACCTGAAGTTTGGGAACTGACCTTCAGAATGATCTGGCATAGGTTCCTCAGAAATTGTTCTTGTGAACCAAAATCAAGATTAGCCTAGCCAGGACCTGTCCCCCAACTATCATATGCACAAAAACTGTTACTTCTCATTTGGTGAGGTCCATTTTGCAGTGTGCCTTAAAAACACCTTGAATTGCAGCACACTGAACCACTGCTGGAAGTGAACTGTGGTAGTGATTCTAAACACATATACTCTGTGATAGTTTATGTTACTACGATGATAAGTAGCTGCAATGTTCAGTTACTAGAGCTTTTAAATAAATGCAAAATAGATTTCATTACAGTAGCTGATTGGTAGTAGAGATCTCTTTAGACATTGGTGTGTATCTGTATATGTACAGATATATGCTCTCACTGCTGAAGTCAGAGAGTCATTCTGAAAGTTCCTACTTCCATTTTCTCTTAAACTCCTTTTAGCTTTCACTCAGCTCTCTTCATACTACTCTTTTTCTTCTTCCTATGAATGTATATCTAATCCAGGACTTTTTAAATCATGCCTGGAGAGCCAGCTGTTTCCTTTAAACATGCCACATGAGGACAGTCATTGAGCTCTGTAGAATATTCCTCTTTTGTTCTTTCAACTAAACTCTCTTAGCAATAGCAAATTTGCATGTCAGGCTATTTTCTAATTTTAGTATCACTGGACATACTCCTCATAATTACAATTTCCATTTTCTTTTGAAAAATCTTTTTTTCTAGATAGATTTTAATGCCCTGTTCTATGATTTCATCAACCAGCCTAAGTCTTTCTTGGAAATCAACAGTGTCAATAGCAAGATTCTGTTGAGCTTTGGGGACTCACTGAAGTGAGGAATAGCCTCAATTTATATTTAAGCAATAAATTTGCAGCTGAAAAACTAACAAGCAAACAAAAACAGCAAAATGAGGAGCATAGGGAGTACCATGGAATCCAATAACCCATTAACATTATTGCAAGTATAAAAGCATCACAAAAACAAGTACCATTACACAGTATTTTCTTCTGATCTTCAGATTAAGCAGAGCAGAAAACAAACAGTTTTCAGGAAGATTCTTGTTTCATTTTGAAATTTAGTTAATCCAAAAGCCAATTTAAATTTTAAATAAATCTTTAAATAATTCTGCTTATGTATTTTATCACAACTTATTTTTATGTATTCAGTGAAGGATTAGTAGCTGTTGAAATAGTTGATTTCAATACACTCAATTCCTTTTAAGGGTCGATAAACCATGGCACTGCAATGGATTCAAAAGTTTCATATTCTGGAATCATGCTAAATTCACTTTGAGCAAATGTTTACAATGAAGGAGAAGATAAGATATTTGATGATCTCATTTAAAGAGGGTCAGATTTTTTTTCTTGCCTTTTTTTTTTCTTTTCTTTTCTTTTTTCTTTTTTCCCAGATAGTTTCTATGCAGAATGGGAAACCTAACAAACAGAGACTGAGAAGAGTTTTACTGCGGATGTGATTCCTCATAGGGATTATATTTCAGATATTGAGTGATTCCATTTCCCTTTTTGAAGCAAATTCCTTCATTGGAATACATTTTTCATGATGCCTCTGTAATTGTGCAATTCCTATGGTGCATTAAAATGGCACAAGAAAAAAAAAGATCCTCCAGAAATCTTGTTAGGAAATACAGTATGAAGACAAAATGAAGGAGAGAGTGATACATGAATTACAGGTTTTGTAAAATGTCATAACAGAATTTATGGTTCAATAATTTTAAATCCTTGAATTTTAAGTAAAAATAATGAGGCTTTGGCATTTTTAAATGTTCTCCTACCTCCCTCCCCCCAAAAAATAAATGCTGTCATCAAGAACTGATTACACGCAAAACTATGGTCTGCAAAAAAATCTACTAGAATACATCCAGAAACAGGAAAGAGAACTTCTCCCCCACCCATTCCAAGTGGATATCTGTGAAGATTTATTTCCTATGTAGATCCAATGGTAATTTAGGATGATAAATCTTTCAGAGAACTCTCTGCAGACCTAGTGAAAATGTATGCCTGAAGCTAATTTTCTCCAATGGTCTGGCTTTTCCTTTTCCAGTTATATTGGCTTCTGAATTGTCCAGTCCTTTGTTTTCTAGTGAACACAAAAGGGATTTTGCTTTTCAGAAAAGAAACAGGGGTTTATTTGTCACAGTATCCATGAAAATGGTCCTGTCAAGGGGTTCCTGTAAGTATTCATACATATAGAAGAAGACTTCCATAGAATTTCTTCTTTCTGTTAAAACTGAAAAGGAATTTTAACATACAGTTATATGAAAAGAGTTTGGAAGAGAACAACAAAAAATATTGTTTCCCACGTATAAGCTGTACCTAAACCATTTGTAGCAGAAATACAGAGTAACAGCTTGAACCAGCGATTGAGAATCTGGTAGAAAGACAGGACCAATCCAGAAGAGTTCAGGTGCATGCAATGTACCTGAATGACTGGAAGGGGTGGAGCCAGGATCCACCCCTTCCCAGACCTCATTTAAGGGTTGAAAGGTTGGTAAAGAAGGTAAGGGTATCTTGCTGGAGATGTCTGCCTACTTTAGGTCTCCTGAAGGTGAATAGCTTCTCCCTTTTCTTCCTCCCCCCTTTTGTTTTTGCATCCATAGCTGCTGCACTTGTTTTTTCCCCTTACTTGCTGCGTCTTGGGGCTCTGCTAACATTGCTGAGTTTTCCATCACATTATAGCATTGTATCATTCTAATCATGGTTATCTAACCTGCTCATAAGAATCAATCTAGATTCCATCATCTCTTTAATTAGTGCCACAAAGCTTACAGTTCATACGTTCTCTCTGGCTCGTTATTTCTTCTTCATAGTGTGGAGAAGAAATAATTCCATTCCTTTTCTAGACCCCTACTAGTTCTTACTACCTTGTCCAAAAGTCAGGCGAGGAGGTTTATCCAGACATGGTATTGTACTTGCAACAATATTCCATTTTAGAATAGACTATCAGCTCAGAGCCTCAATGCATTCTAGGTGACACTTTTTCAACATATATATTTTTTTGATCAAACATAACATAACTTGCTCATGGTGAATATTCATACAAAGTACAGAATTTGTTCTTGCTTCATCATACCTTACTTTTTAAGGCCATTAGTTAGCCTGATTGATTTTTAGAACATTTTATTAGTTTCTGTCTCACACTGTATTTAGTGAGTTACTTACTGTCGTAAGTTATGGAATTAAGAACCCAGGTCCAGAAAAAGAGTTGTGTCAATTGATGTAATCAGTATCAGTTAGTTGCAAACTTAGTTTTGCTTCAAGCTAAGTCATGAAAAGTCATACCACTTTCCTCTAAATGGAGCATGGGTCTTGGTATGATGAGTTGATCTATGTTTTAGTTATGCTGATTATGACTTTGAAAATAGTAAAGAAGATGAATATGTTCTAAATATTCCTTTTCTCCTGTCTCCCCATCCTCCTCTCATCTTTTTCCCTATTATCCTACAGAGAAATAAATGAGCATTGCCAAAACATAAAATAATTGAAAGGTAAGCGGTAGGAAAGAAAAAAGCACATCTTATATGACTTAGGCTGTGTTTATTTTGGAAGATAAATGAAGTCTGATTTGGGTGTTTGTTTCTGGTCTAGGATAATATAGTCAAAATCTAATCTCTACCTATGAGTATGTTTCCTATTTAATTTCTTTGTTACCTAAAATACCTCATGTAGTATTTTTTACTACATTTCATTTTTACATTCCATTTGGCTCTTTAAACTTTATCTAAATAGGGTAGCACATCAGGCAAGCCAGAAGAGCAACTCAGCATAGCAAGAGAACTCACATCGTTTTCATAGCTTCTCTAACAAGAGTACAGTGAACTCTTAAAAAGAACATTTACCATGGCATTGTGCAAATATCTCATAGTGGAAAATGCTTTAAGCAAGGAAATACTGTGGTAAAATCAATAGCCCGGAACATTATTGTGCTTTCTAACAGCACCCACTGTTCAAGCAGGGGACACATATAGATATTTCCACATTTCTTATGTCCTATTCGTGACTATAGGAATCAAATTACATATAGGCTTGCAACAAAGATTTATTTCTTAGCCTGTAAGCTCTTCTGAATTAAGAATTTGTATTGGTTCTGGTATCTGATCCAAATCCTACTGAAATCAGGCATGATCTTCCCTCCTCCTCAATCAGCTCCAAGACAGATCTGTAGGGGAAACTGAGCAGTATGATTCATTCACTTCTGGTTTTGGTCCTGTCCTCAAGACATGCAAAAGGAGCGGGACCATACCACTGTGGTCAGACACAGGGTGTGGAGTGGTCTCTGTGAGGTAAGGAGATGCCCTGGGGAACCTCACTCCCCAGCAGATGTTGTCTCACACCTGTTGAGGCTGGGAGTGTTTTAGCTTATGAAAGGGATACACTGAACACTTTGAACATCCTGATGTGTTTTGCCTTTGGTTAATCACGGCAAACTTCTGTATATTCCAGTCATCATATATCAGGAATGTCACTGTTCTGGCATGCTGGGCTGCAGCAACCAGAAATGCAATGCAGTCTCAGTTTTAATGACTCCTCTTAGTCTGTCAGAGCCATTGTGCAAATAACACAGAAGTTAAGCTACAGAGCTGTTAATTTTCTTTTAGATTTTGCAAAAGAAAACCAGTATATGCACAAGTTAGATCATGCAAATTCTTAAAAAAAAAGTCATCTTTTTGTTTCAGGGTGTCACACTTAAAACTAGTTGTAGCTTCAGAATATTACATTTTGGAATTTTTCTTGCATGTAAAACAATAATTCTGATTTTATCTTCTACTTGAAGAAGTAGAAAACTGCTCTGTATAATTAGTTCAAGCGCTGTTGCGTGAGATAAAGTAAACATTTGTCTCCAAAAGGGGGAAATGTTTGAAATGTACCTTTATGGTTTTTACCACTTCTATGGCATTGTGCTCTCTAAGAACTGAGGTCATATATGACACACAAAATACTTTGCCAACATCATGTATATGTTAGGATTATCCTTTCAGATTTATTATTCAAGGATTTTGCTTGTAACATTTTTTAAGTACCATGAAGCCTGTGTATTTTAAGTATCCTTTTGTTAAATATGTGCATGAGAAACTGAATATATTGTAAGTATATAACAATAATGAACCTTTGCATAGCTCAAATATTTAGCATGTGGCCAAATAATTTAACACATAGGCAGATAATGACCCTAGTTGCAAATAAACTTGCTTTTGACTTCAAGAACATTATAGAATCATTACTGTGGAGAGAATTTGGATATGTTTTTGTTGTATGCTTAAATGCATTTTGGAAGCAGCTCTTTAGACAGCCAGTCAAAGGTGAGGAAAAAGTGGAAACTATTAGTTAAAAAGGATGCCATTGTAATTTTTTTTCCCACTTGGATTTTTGTCCTTTTCATACTGTATTATTTGTAAGCTTGCCTAAAGTACTTTATGCAAGATTCAGAGGGGGAAAAAAGCCACTCTGTATAGTATTTAAATAATTGAATGCTGTCAGAAAGGTGGGCTTTTGATGAGTCTGCAGTTTTGTATTGAAAATCAAATATATTGTAAGCATAGGGAAACACAACTGAGTGCCCTGAGAGGGTTTGGTGTCATGGTCAACATTCAAAATTTGCATGAGAGGTTATTCAAAAGAGAGGTAGCAGACTTCCCTATTGTATTAACATGGTAATGCAATTCTTTGTGTCTATTATCCTGATCCACATCAGCTCTGGTATGCACAGAGTCTGGATTTTTATGAGCTATATGCTTTTTGCAGAGATATTTTATTAACCCAATTAAGAATTTTATAAAAGTAAATTATATTTATGTTTGTGTCTCCTATTTGCATTCATTAGGGAACCTAGACCACCTCCGGTGACTTCACAGAGGGCTGGTCAGGTCCCATCTGTGTAAATCTTGTAAGTTGTCATAGACTCATTGCATTTGATTTACATGTGAAACCTGCGGACTGAGCACAAATGCTAACCAGACAGCTGATAAATAACACAATACCGAAGCAACACTTCTACATTTCTTTAACTCTTTTTTTTTTTATATGGATCTCCAAATGTTTTTCAGACCTTAATGAATTAACCTTTGTGGTATTACAGCAATCATAACCAAAATATTATTGCTTATATACCTTATCAGGTTTAATAATTTGCTGCTTTATAATGGGGTAAGACTCATTGTACCAGTTTACTTAAATACAAAACCAGAAGCTGGTCCTGTCCCAGGGATCTCACAGCTTAAAGGCCTGACTGGTAATTTTCACAGCTTGACAGAGGGAGTCTTTTAAACTTACCACCCATCTGCTGAGACATGTCCATGTAGATCTGATGCATGTGAAAAACAAACAAGTTCAAACTACCCAGGAAGTGGCTTAAATCCACTGTGAGCTTGTTTTCGGGCAACTACTTTCGTTTCACATTTGCTTGAAGCACGTATGCAGGCAGTTATCAAGGCTCAGCTGAGGGCTGTACCTCAGCTGCTTGTGGCTGGCCTACTCATACAGTCTCGTGCAGCTTCTGATGGCAAAGACTTAAAAATGAGGCAGCAATTCCAGATTTACAGCCAGAAATAAAATGTATAGAAAGCTGACTGAATCAGGTGTCAAATCCAAGAGGAAAGGTTCATTTTGCAGTGTGCTGCTGTAAGTACTAGGAGACTGGTTGAACAAGTGAAAGTAATTTGATGTTCATGTTTGGGAAATAGGTCCTAGGTAATACAGAAATAGGTCAGTGTTTGTGCAGAAAGCTCGCTTAGCTTGGCTGCCTCTCCTCCACATAGAACCTGAAGCACTGCTCAGTAATGCCAATGGTTAGACTCAGAGGAGGTGTCTCCACAAAGCAGTTGGGCTGAAGAAAGACTTTTCTCAAAGAGCAAGAAAGGAATAATGTGTGTAATGATAGCATAGAGGAGAGAAACCACAGAGAGAGGCTATAAAAACCTACTGCTTACTGTGATGCAAACTAATGACAAATAGGAACCCTGAGTTACACGACCGACAGCCATTGTCCTTCTATCAGTGTGCCCCTTTGCACACCTATCAGAGTCTCTAGATGAGCCTGCCAGTCTGACCTGTCAATTCTTTTCTTTCTTTTTTTTTTTTTTTTTTTTCCTTCTGCCTTGGCTTGTTTAGCCCTACTGAACTGTACAGAAAATGACTTCAGTGTATGCTGGATCAGGCCTCAGATTCTCAATAAACAGTGTTATGCACCTAGGTTAAGCAACTCCTAAGGGGAAAGTAACAGATGCCAGGATTGTAACAGAAAGGAGCTTTTGAAGAAAAAGTTGTGAAACAGACCTATTAGCAACTGGTACTTCCAGGGCTGAAAGCCACCTTGATGGTGGGGGGACAGGAACAGCACATCGGGTGACGTGAACCACGCTCTGCACTGCTTGTTGTTCATGGGTGGGCAGGGAGAACAAGTGCCAAACTCATGTCTGTTTTGTAGCATGCAATGTGGATCTTGATATAGTTGTCTTGATTATTTGGAAATATTTACTTCACAACTAAATGCAAGACCTAGCGGTTACTGCATCATGTCTGGGAGCAATGTTTTGGTGGTCACTGTTGCACAACAGTAGCCTCTAGATAGAATCATAAAAAGTAAAATTAAACTAACATGCGTTATTGTTCTTATAGCAATGGATAATAACTGCAGAGCAAAGCAATCAGATTTAGGTAACACCAGAATTAAATTTGACTATTCAGCTTTAATTTAGCACACTTATGCATATGCTTCATACTAACATAAATTATGTGATCACCTTATAGTTTTCCTGTATGATCCAGGAGTTACTCTGAATACAGAATGAATGGTGTTTTTGGGATAAGTTACTATTCAATAGTTTGTTTCATTTCCATTATTTGGTCTGTGAAATTTTAATGTACTTTGATCCATAGTGCAGTATTATAACTGCACTTGCCTTATGGAAACTTCTCAATTTTACCTATATATAGTTTTACATTTTTTTATGGTATTTTCAGAATGTTTCTGCAATTAGGATGCATGCAGAATGCATAATGTTGCAAACTCTGTGAAAGTGCACAACCACGACATTAATTGCCCTGCTTCTAATAGGACCCATTAAGGTGCTGTCAACACCACATTAATCAAGAAAGACCCTTTCTCAAGTCACTTGAGTGTTCCTCCACGGCACTGCCAGGTTTTGTTTTCATCACTGTTGTTTCATTTCATTAAATGCAGTGTGAATCACCTCTAAACAAAACTTTTTTGCAGTCTTCTGGTTTCCCTGGAATCCTAATGTGAAACAATATCAAGTGCCAGGGCATGCAGGTTTACATCTCAGAGCCCTTTTGCTTTGTGGTAGAGTTGCACAGAAAGCACAGCGAGAAGAATGATAGCAAAAGAATAGCCATATTAGTGCAGTCAGCCTTGAGTGTTATCAAGGTAAATTCTGAGGAGTGGGGTACATTGGCTTAGCAGAATTGCATGCTAACCTGATAGCACTGCCTGTGGCCCTTATGCAGATCACCTGAATCTCCCTTCATGGTTTTGCCCTGGGTTAAATAGCACGTATCCTCTACCAGCGCTACTGACAATCTCAGTAAGGACCATGAAGAGCAACAGAGAATTTCAGTTCTCACACAGTGTGACTGAAACATTTGGTACAGTTGTACTCCTGTCTGTACTTTTTCATGATTACAGACCCTGACAGACTATGTAAACTTTCAACAACACCACTTCTTTTGTCTTTATTGCTTACTGAGTTGGAGAAGGCATCTGGGATGAAAACAGGCTCATTCTCCCAGGTAGGAGAAAAGGAAGGTTAAATAACAATTCCCAAAGAGGAAGATAAAACTTTTAATAATGGTCCATATCCTAGGGAAAAGTCTTTGATGTAAAAGACTAAGTATTTTGCTGATGCTTCCCTTTTCCTGAAATTATCATAAAAGGTGACATCCCAGGTTGTACTTTCCAGGTTTCAAAATTTTGGGCAGTTCTGGAAGGTTATGTGCTCTTCTTTATGCTTGAATGGAAAAATGGTGAGAAACAGGTTAGAAGAGACCTGTAAGGGCAAAGGAACTTGTAAGTACATGATGAGTCACGAGCGCTGTGTGTTTTGAAGGAAACCAGCAGAGAACTGGGGCAATGCATCTCACAAACTGGCGATTTGGCTGCTGAGTTAAAAATAAAACCAAAACTAAATCAGTCCTCTGGTACATAAAGCAATCGTGGGCCCCATGAAGCACTGGAATCTAGAAGGTTTAGGATTACATAGATTTTTTTACCCTTAAGGAAATTTCATCCCTGTCACCAATAGTAGATAGATCTTATGAAATACAGCTATATTAAATTATAGATATGTATAAAATAATGAGATTAGGAGTGTCAAACTTTTCTTTGCAAATTCCATGCATCTGTACATTTTTTTTTTCCTGTAGCAGAAGCAAAAAAATGACAAGGCATAACTGGAATGTGGTCATTAAAAAAATGAAGTGAATCCACTGTACATAACCATTTGCATTTTTTGTAACAACTGGTGGCAATAGATGAACCTAGAGCCATCAGTGTTTCACACCCAGGTCATTCTGACTCACAGGTGATTTGTATTCCACTCACAGTGCTTTTCAATAAACAGCAACTCTGATCTATAATATAGTCAGTTCTAACAAGATGGATTTCTAAAGGTTTATCCATCTAGCTAAAATGAACCTCAGTCATCTTTGTGCACAAAACACCCACATAGGCTATTTGTCTTGGACCGGCATGTTTGGCAAAAAGCCTGACTTAAGCCCTGAGCATGAAAGCTTAGTGAAGAATGCTGCCATTCACACGGGGGTTTGATGTCCAGGACTGACCCCACCCTCTGTACTTAGCTCTGAGCTGCTTGGCAAAGGCAGAGAAACCACAAGACAAGTCTTATCGTCTGGTAAACCTGTCACTTGAAAATGACTTCACTAGAATAATTCAACAATTACAGTACATTTTAATTAGGTGTATACCACATAATCACAGCTTTTTTTTTTCTTTTTTTTTTTTTTCTTTTTTTTTTTTTCTGTACATTGAGTTTCAGAGGAGAAAAAGAAACAGAACAGAAAAAAAAACCAAAATTCTAACCCAGAGCTATTCACTGTAAGAGCATTAGGACCGACCTTTTGTAGCATCGGCCTGGCATTCCACAACTGCTGATTTAGGCTGTTGGAAAATGTGATTGGACTGTGAGTTGGGTAGGCACTTACAGATGAAGTGATCTGCACACCACTGTGTCCTCTGTTACATCAGAATAAAAAGAAACGTTTAGGCCTGACACAACTGAAAGAGAAGCAAGATAGCAAAATGGGCAGCTTGCAATGGCAGAGCTTATTCCCAGTTCAGGGATGAGGCAGTACTGACATACGGATGCAGCAGAGGAAACTCGTACAACAGAGGGGAATGTCTTGGTGGGTTTACCTGCCTCAGACAACTATCTGACAAGTCTGTCTTTTTCTTATATTTTGGCAAGACTTACTTAGCCTGTCTTGCCAGTAAATTCTCATCTAATTGAATTGACAAGCATGGACACTTTTCAATTAAAACTTCCAATCTGCCCCAAATTCAACTTTTTTTTTTTTTTTTTTTCTGTAGTGTAGTGTCTACGTTATGAGTTAATACACTGAGTCACAGTCACTGAAGAAGAGAACTGACAAAATATCTTCACTCTGCAGTGAGTAAATCTTTGATCTTTTTAGTCATTCTTTCTGGTAATGTGCTGGCTTTAAGCCCTTCATGTTTTGTTTGGCATGAATGGCATCTTTCATTATTATTCTCACCTCTAATTCTCCCCTCAACTTTGGGCAGTGAATTCCTGTCTGTGAGTTTCTCCCATGCATTGTTATCTCATTTGCTATCATGAATCACCAAGATAAAGTGCTACAAGGTTTGAGATGTCCTGCTACCTGCTGGTCAGCCTAAAATCTTATTAAATTTGATGGCAGTGAAGGCTTTGACATCCTCCTACAATTGTCAGTATGAAGTTATAAAATAGTAATTAGATTAGAATTAGATAATTAAGGGTGAGTTATTATAGAGCTTTTTGAAACACCTCTGTCACTTCCTCTCATTTCCTCCTTGTATAGGCATTTGTAAAGAGCCTTACATTCTACAGTTTAATACTACAAGTAAAAGGAATTCACATTTTGTACTTCTATTTCTGTATTTTAGAAATTTATATTTTCAAAATGCCTGCCTGCATGCATAGTATTCATTAAGACATCTTCTGGAGAGATTAGATTCTATTATGTCAGTGTAGAGGAAATCCCAAGTGTTCCTTGTTATGGAATGCACATCCAAACTGATGTTCATGCTCAGATCTCTGAGATACAATCACAAACAAGAGATTATGAGGAGTACTGATGTGCAAGAAGATTTTATTTGCATATTTTGTGCTTGCACACACATGCGTGAGAG